AGAGATAACATCACCCTCAGTCCGGCCTCCAACGGGCCTCACTGGCCCTTCTGGACCCGACTCCTCCGCCTCATCCCTCCCTCCCCCCCAGAGAAACAGCCCCCGCCCCTTTACCCTCCACCCGCAGCCCCTCAACTGCAGCCCCTCCTCCAGCCCTCCACAGTCGTCCCCACGTTTCCCCCGGCCCGCCCGCGCGCGGCCGCCCTCGCCTCTCCAGCCTACACCGCCACCGCGCCCTCCCCGCGGTACGACCCGCAAGCGCATCCGCTCGGAAAGCGACAGATGAGAAGGTTGCGCCCCTCCCCATCTCCCAGGCCTCTTACGGGGGCCCGCCCCGTCGTGCCAACAGCTACCCCAGCCACCTAAACCCTGGTGCCACCACTAAAACAGGAGCCCAAAAATTCCCCGCAGCCATGCCCCACCCACACCATGGCTCCGGTGCCGAACGCGGCCCCCCAACCGTGGGCAAGACTGTGCTCGATCTCCAAACAAGAGCGCTCAAAACATGAACTGTGAGCACCAACGGGGGCCCCAAGAAAGGCTTCTACATCCAAGGCAGAGTAAGGATCCCCACAGCCCCGCCAGCACAACCCCCGCGACAGAGTACCCACACCACAAGGACTGACAGCACCCCCCTTGCACCTCCCACCCAAGTCCACAATCCCTTATGAGATACTTCCCTCCCTGGCAGGAGGCTGCGGTCCATCCAGGACTGAAAAACGTCTCGCCATAAAAAAGTTTCTTCCCCCGTCTGCAACTGGCCCTCCTTAACGAAGGCCCGGATTACCCACTGTCATTGACTAATTATACCCACCCTGTATATAAAGTATGCATTACATTAATGCACCCAACGTTCCTTGCTGCACAGCTTTTCTCTTTTTCTCTTCCCTTATCTTTATCTATTTAATTTTTGAAAAAGTAACTTTTTTTTTTTCTGTGTGATTTTTGTGTGATTTGAATAATTGTATATTTGTTTAATTGTATTTGTAAATAGTGTATATTTTATGCACCAACTGCACAGGTCACCATTCCTTCGTAGGCCGAAACATACTTGGCAATAAACAAACTTCTGATTCTGATTCTAGATGAATAAAGAAAAAACCCGTGAAGTATTTTATTTGTTTATTGAAAAGAACCATTAACCAGTTGATCCTCAACACTCATATGTTCCTGTAACCTTCACAGGTCTGACGGGGAAGTCACCTGATTTATTTTCCTACCAAATTAACAAGTCCATGGAATATTTCAGTCCGTCAGTAGCAGAAAAAGCAAATTCTCAGAGAGCTATAAAAGATTTTTTAATTGATTGAATTGTTTATTCTGATTGCACATGTTATTTAGCACCTTTCATGTGACCCATCAATTTTATATATTATGGGCAGCAACTTGGATTTTACAGATTATAGAAGCAGATTATACACATTTTTTATTTTATTCAAGTCATAACTCTGAGATGGGAACAGAGAAGGCGTGATTTATACTGCCTTCACAGCAGAGGACATCAATCACACCAGACTTCACAACCAGCAAAAGGAAGTGGAGTCCTGTTGATCATGTCCATATATGTTTCAGGTTAGTTTTTATCTCGTACCAAGGTTCACCAGCATGACGATACACACATAAACATCTATCTGTTTAAGTGAATGTATTTGCTTTAAGTCTGTTTTTTTCTTATTGTTACCTGCTTGTTGCTTTATTACAGTCTAGTTTACAAGAAATGCCCAAACCAGACATCATACATGCAGAAAAACAAGAGTCAGTGATCATTCAGTCATGATTTATTTATTTATTCATGGTTCCAGGTTCAAAAAGTCTCTGCCATCACTGTTATTGTCAACTGCTTTACAAAATAATCACTGAGTCGAGCACAGAGAGGCGCAATCTTATAAACTGCAGCTTCACGCAAAAAGAGGAACTCATCACCACCAGACTCACACACCCAGCAAAGTGGAGTCTGTTGATCATGTCCATATATGTTCAGGTTAGTTGTTTATCTCGTACCAAGGTTCACCAGCATGATGATACACACATAAACATCTATCTGTTTGAGTCAATGTATTTGCTTTAAGTCTGTTTTTTTCTCATTGTTACCTGCTTGTTGCTTTATTACAGTCTAGTTTACAAGAAATGTG